TTCCCATGTTATTACGGTGTATCCATATAAATGGCCCACCCTGTAGTTTCAGTAATCAGCTGATTTTTGGATGTCATGTGATGGGCATGTGGACAACCTTTAACCCGTCTGCTTGTACCATCCTCTCGTTATCGTGGCCCTGCAGCGTCCTTCAACTGGCCCTGCTGTGTTTGTTCTGCAGGTTCACTTACATAACCACACTGACCCAGGATCATAGCCAGCAGCTGCTCTTTGCATCTGCCACAAACATGCAAACTTGATCATGAGAGTCCTCTGAGGGGAACAACAAAGCTCATAATAAGGGGTCATCCATCTTTCCCACAATCATCTTCTAGTCCTCCACTAAAACCACCTGCAGTCGTTTCCATTGCTTACAACTAAAAATCAAGAGGCTATAGTGTAAAGCATAAGTGTAAGGTTTACACCACAGAATAAGATTCATTCGTTTCACCTGGTACTCAAAACTGTGGAGCAAACAGGTGTTATGTTACTAGTTCAGAATAACTGTTGTTGTTTTAGGCATGTTTGCACTTCAGTCAGCTCTCTCTAAGACAAACATTCACACATTAAGAGACATGAACATGAACAAACCTTCATTCAGTCATCAAGTCAGTAATTAAATCAGCAGATGTAAAAATGGTGACGTGCTTTCTGAGCCTCTAATGTGACCAAAATGTACAACTTCATGTTTGATCCAATAAGACTCAAAATAAGCATCTCAGAGAATAAATTCACCAGGAGAGGGTTTACTGACGTCACAGTGAGCAGCAGGATCATTTTTTCATGGGCTTTTGTACAATAAGGCTTCTTTAGAAAACCAGAGGAGTCGTCCCCTGCTGGACTTTACAATGAATAGCAGTCTAAGGCTTCAGTTTTCACTGACTAATAAAGCTTTTATTGGTTAAATTAAAAATATTAAAATCAAGTAAAATGTTCCTGAGTGAAGACTGAAAGCATTTATCTGCTGTCTAACCAACGATGTGTTAGAATAAAAACCTTAGAAGGTTTAAAAATGAAATGAGTGTTTCAGTGTTGGGCTTTTTTGAGGTGGACTATGAACCTGCAGCTCAGATTAGACCATCTCATTTAAGGAGGAGCGTGTTCAGCTGAACTTTGAGCTGTCCCACCTTCAAGAAGGCGGAGTGGACCTTGGGCCCGATTCATATCACATCTTTACACGTAAGTGTGAATGAAGCAAACACAAACAGGTCACTTAAATATTCCAGCACAGGGCCGGGAACAAACCTTCATCCAGAACCAGCAGAGCATCCTGAAAGTGTCTTTACTCAAATACTACATGTAAGTACAAACTCTGAAGAACTGTAGCTTACTTTAGTCATTCAGTTTTATTCCATTTAATCTTCAGCAGATTTACATGCAGAGTCACATGCTGCCAAAAGTCTGCAGACTACTGACATTTATTTTCACAATTTATTTCTTACAGCTTTTGTTGCATTTGGATCCATTAAGGGTGAGTCAGCATGGTGCCCTCTCAGCAGTCATGTGTATATTCACTGCTGTATTAAAGAAGATGTGCACACGCTGGACGGATGTGCACAAGCTGGACGGATTTGAGAATGGATTCAGTAGATTTGGTTAGGAAGGTTTCTGACTTAGTAAAGTGACTCTGAAGTGTGTGTTTGAATTCTCTAAATACTAAAAGAAGGTTGCCTGGAGAAGTCAAAGCTCAGAGTGGGAGTTCTGGGTTCTGCAGCAGGGGGCGCTGCTGCTCTGTTTGTGTGCAGCATTGAAGGCGCTGCTGTTGTTTCTTTAGGACAGCGGTCCCCAACCCCCGGGCCTCGGACCGGTACCGGTCCGTGAGTCGTTTGGTACCGGGCCGCGAGAGTTGAGGCTCAGGTGTGAAATGTATGGTTTTCAGCGTTATTTTGTTATCGTTTTTATTGTTAACTCGGTTTTCCTGGGTCTTTTCACATGTGTTATGAATAAATCTTCTTTTTTTTGGTACCGGTACTAGTTTTATTTTGTTGTATTTATCCGCGACAACTTAAAGGCCGGTCCGTGAAAATATTGTCGGGCATAAACCGGTCCGTGGCCATATCAGACCATATCAATCAGCACATTTCCTTTATTAGAAAATAATAACAGATTATTTATTTTATTTTTTGTTTTAAATCTTCTTTAAAAAAAGGAACAGTAATATCATCACCTTCACCTGCTGCACCATTAAAAGTGATGAATATGACTGCAGCTGTAATTAGAAACAACAATAGATTTGACACTTGTTTCTCATAGAGCCCTGATCGATGTCAGCAGACTGCAACACAGTGGAAAACATTCACTTCAAAGGACTTGGAATCAAGAGTGAGGAAGAGTGGATGGAGCAGAGAACTTCCTCCTACGTTTTCAAACATTTTAAAGACACTTCCTGACTCTGCATCTTCATTCATCAAAACGTTTAAAAGGATGTTGATGATAAAAATAATAAAATAAGAAATGAATAAAATGAAAACAGACAGGGTGAATGAAAAGAAGGATGGTTTTGAATCTGTCATCGTGCAAAGATCTAAAGACTGAAAACAGGGAGCTGAGCATTAACCTGCAGTCAGTGGGCTCCTTGTCAGGATCACAGTTTCGTGCTTCACCTTGAGCTGCTGGAGCTGTTGAGTTTAAACAAAGTGGATCAGTCAGACTGTCCACGTGTTCACCTGCAAAGAGATTTCAGTCTTTTTTTTTTAAACAGGGTTACTTATATCACTGTGCACATGAAAGCACACACATAAAAACCCAAAATGATTCGAAGTGCTGTGAAG